GAGAGTGAGAATGAGAGTTACTGAGACCGCGACTGTAATGAGCCAGCGACTTGGTAAAGAAAGAAGAATGGTGACTGCAACTAACCGGTGTCTGCCGACTATTGAGCAAAAGATCGGTGACCGGTGAGCAAAAGAAAGAAGAATGGTGACTGCAACTACCTGGTATCTGGTGAGCAAAGATCGGCAGCGTGAGAAATTTGTGTGGCTGAGGCGTGACCTCGTGAGAACTGAGAACTGAGAGAGACAGAGAGTGAGAGTGAGAGTTACTGAGTTTGCTTATTGACTGGTAAGCAAAGATCGGCGGTGACGCAGCGTGAGAAATTTGTGTGGTTGAGGCGTGGCCATGTGAGAACTTAGAATTGAGAGAGACAGAGAGTGAGAGGCTGAGTGATTGAGAGTTACTGAGTTAGCCAGTTAGGGATTGCAAATTTGCAATTGTAAAAATCCCCAAAAGTGCAAAACATATAATTTTTTTAAAAAAATTCGGTTAAAAAAACTAGTTCCGAGTAACCGGAATTAATTTGACCAAAAACCGAAATTGAACCAGATATTTAGTTTTTTTTTTAAATAATCAAACCAAAACCCAAAAAAACTGGACTTTCGGTCCTGTTCGATTTTCGGGTTTTTTTTCCACCCGTATCGGGGAAGAGAATGGTGGTGGTGTAAGGTTGCAAAGATGCTGAAATCGGAAACGGAATATAAAATTGAGTAGTAAAGTGGTAGTTTAAAAGTTTTTGGGTGAGAAAGTGTCATTAAGACATTATTTGGGTAGAAAAAAGTTGTTTGCTCTTTATATGTAGTACCAAAATAGTATGGTAACTTATTTCCATAATTTTTATTCTCATGGCTTATGCTAAGACTATTAACATTATGATAATTTTAAAATTTATAAAAAAAATATAAATTAATCTTTAAAATAAAGATATAATATTTGTGATTTATCATTCTTAATATTCTTATTAACCAATAGCCACATGGTTGTTTAGTGATTTTAGTCTACGGGAGAATCACTTAATTAACCAAATAAGAGGTCCTATATTTTCCATTTTTTCCTCTTTTTACCCCCTCTTTTTCTTTGCGTTCACTTTAAAGGGAATATATTTCACAAAACACCCTTAAAGTCTGCTTAGGAGTTTCATGGTAGCAGTTATGAAGATAAACCATCGCAGCAGTTTTGAAGGTAAACCACAATAACGGTTTTAAGGGGTTTTTAGTAGTGGATTTTAAAACACCCAACTTGTGCTTGAGAGTTTATTTTCCAACGGTTCTGACAGTTTTTTAAAATGATAAATTTACATATATGCCCATAAAAATACTCCGATTCAATTGGTACTTGGCAATTTTGTTTTTTCAATTACACAGTAAGGGTTTTTAATTTGTTTTCTATTTATTACTATTTTATAACTTCAAATGTGATAAAGTCTTCTTATCATTCTTCGGCATTCTTTGCAGCATCTGGAATGATTGAAAAATTTTAACTCCACTTCTCCAAGAAAGCATCTAGAAATGAGATTTTAATAATTTTTTTGTATGTTGCTTAAAATTATTTTATATTTAATATGGTTGGTGACACGCATAATATGGTTAATTTTTTTTTTGGATATAATTGGGATAGTTTTGTAGTGGATAGGGTATTTGTGGAATAAAATTTTAAAATCAATCAAAACATCCAGATTTGAAAGGTTTATAAACCCTTAAAAAATACACTATACTGGTTTTGGGGGGTTTTTGAGCCAGTCAAAACCAGTGTATAAAAAATCTGACAAATAATAGTTTTAGAGCACCTCATAATCAGTCTAATTAAAAAACCTCCAAAATCATTGGAAAAAAAAAACACCTAAGCAAGCCCTTAGCGCTCATATCTCTTGGATGGTGACTTTCCCACTTTGTAGCGAAGTTTACCCTTAAACCTCAAATATAGTATCACAGACACCCCTGACCCTAACTCTGTTATTTGGCGTTAGTGTGAAAGGGTCAAAAGAGTCAATCCGCTTAGAAAAGAAAAACAAAACCTAATCAAGATACGTAAACCGTTTTTGGTACTTCAAAAAATATCTTTCATCTTCTTCCTGTCGTTTCCTTTGAAGAACACCAAATTTGCCCCAGTCCCACGCTCAAAATCTAATTCAAATCACAATCAAAATCATCATCCTCGCCGCCCACCATCTCCTTCGTCACGGCCATCAAAACATTAAATCAAATGATTTTTTATATTATTTAATTAAAAATAATAAAAAAACGACCTACTTAATTAATCAAAAATTGATGAAAACGAAATTCATTCAATTTCGCAACCGTCTCTATCATCACCAACTCCTCCAAAATTATCTCATTTCAAAACAACATGAAAGCAAAACATTTTCACATAAGTCCAGAATCAAAAAAACCTACAATCAAAGAAATAAAATCTCATTCCAAAACCTCATCCCCTCTGTCTACTAAAATCAATCCCAAACCCAAGATAGAAAAAACACACAAAAAAGAAAGAATTTGGAGAAACAGGAGGTGCGGAAAAAACCGCGGATCTGCAAGGTGTGGAGCGTATTCACCGATGCTTTTTGTTGTGGCTGTGAAAGTGAGGGGTTGGTTTGCAGACCTGGTATCTGGACTATGGTCGGCCAATGGCCATGGTCGTCGGCTTGGGGCTATTGGCCATGAGTTATTCCTTTTTAAAAAAAGAAAAAATAGTTTATTCTTTTATATTGTTCTTTTTATTTTGGTGAATAGGAAACATTTGTGAGAGAGAAGGTTTGATGCTTTTTCTAAAATTATGTTAGGCAAAAGGACGAAAATACTCTTTCACCGTTAACTTTAACGTTGAAAATAGAAAATTGGGTGAAATGTCGATAGTTTCTCAAACCAGGGGTGGCAATGATTTCACCAAACTTAGGGTGGAAAAATATTTTTCGGTCCAAGTTTAAAATTTTCTTTCCAATAAATTTTTTACGAATTAAACTTATATCTGTATATGGCAAGTTTTTAAAGAATAAAAAATTATTTGGGTGGTAAGAATAAAAATAAATATAAAAAAATCAATATCCTGGGTGATCAATCAATGATATGATTGTGTAAAATATAAGAGTATTAAAATCAATTAATAATTTTCTGTATCAAACAATAATAGAGATCATAGTAACAACAATAATCAAAACCAATATTATTGCCATATATAAGTGTTAACGGTGGAGTACTCATATCTATTTATTTTGAATTTAAAAACCGATCAAGACTCAGGCCTTCACTAATCTTATCTTTCAGATGATGATCAAGAGAAGGGAGGCCCCAGAGCATTATCCTTGCTGGATGGGTGTAATTACAGTCAATGAAATTACCGTGTTAGTCACTAATTTAAAATAAATTATTAATAAAAAGACTTCAATTAGATTGGATAACTACAAAATATGATTGACCTACCATTTAAATTAAGTAAACAATAAATATTAGTTCACTATCTAATCTCACAAATTATTTCTCACAACTTTTATGTGTTAGTTAAAAAAAAAAAAATTGAGAGCCTTCACCTACAAGTTATTAAAAGGAATTTGTGAGATTATGTTGTAAATTTAATATCGACTTTTAGTGAAACATAAGTCTCCCACACATCCAAAATTACGTTGAACATAATATTGCGTAGAATAAATTAATACCAAAAAAGGGTTAGTAATTGTAGGCGAGGAATCCTACATGGTTAATGACTGCCCAATTAAAAATCCTTTTGATTTTGCAAGTTCTACTCCAACTATGACAAATCTTTCCTCTTATATATCGCTTATTCTTCTTCTTTTTAACTTTTTGACTCTCTCATTGATTCTGCCTTCTGATTGTTTAAATAAGTATCGATTACGCATTCTTTGGCCTCCCAAGTTTCTGTCTTCGCTTTTGCGTTCTATTTGAAGGTTAGTATCCTTCAGTCTTTTTCTTATCTTAATTAATTGCTGTTCAGATAATCACAGAGAAGAATTATTATTCAAGTTCTAACATTGCTGTTCGGTTTAATTATCTGTCAGATTTTTTTTAATATTATTATGATTACTATTCAACTATGAGAGCGCTATGTTGTGCAAGGAAAATTGCACAAATAACCATATTTTCTTCCTAACATATTGAGTCTGAGTCCATTATTTTAATTAATTGATTTTATAAGGTTTTGTTATCTCCATTAAAGACATTTGTAGTAGAGATGACAATGGGTCTGATATTTTCGTGTACCTAGTCTGTCTCGAAAATGTCAGGTTTGGGCTTAGGCTTAGGCCTGATTTTAAGGCCGACCTCTGGTATGGGTTAGGCTTAGGTGTGTCTTTAGGCTCGGCCCGGCCCGGCCTGACAATTTTAATATTAATTATACTAAATTATCCTTATACTATATATTTAATTATAAAATTATCTTACATATATATGCTCATTTTTTTCCAAACATGCACTTTATGCACTTTGTGGAAAATTATTTATATATTTAGTAAGTATTAAAAAATAAATTAATATTTAAAAATTGTTTCTAGAATTAAAAATATAAAAAAAATTAGAATTTATTAATATTTAAAAATTCACATTATAAAAATTGACAAGCTTGGGTTGGGCCTGAGGTTACAAAAAGCATGTCGGGCCGAGTTGGGCTTTACCTGTTATACCCGTGATGGGCCTAAGCTGAGTTGAGCCTTTGTCATGAGGTCGGGCTTGGGCCTAGGCCAAGGGGTACCCTATTCCGGCCCGGCCCATTGCCATCACTAGTTTGTAGAAAAAAAAAAAAAAAAAAAAAAAAGAGGAACTTTTAAGGGAAACAAGATATGCATGTTCCTTCCAGGACATGTTAATTATTCTTATGCTTCACTGCAGTCATCCAAAAAAAAAAATTTGTTTACCAGAATAAATAAGGCCTTAAAAATTTGTTAGAGATTCATCTTGGTTTAGTTACAAGTAGAGAGTTTCTTAAATCAGATTGTTTTGTTTTGTTTTGTTTTTCTTCCAAAGATTTAAGTTGAAGCAGAAATCGAAGCAACATTATGGGCTGTGTCTGTAGTTGTTTTCATGTTCCGGATCCTGAACAGAATTTAAATACTTCCAGCAGTGGAAGCTTCTGCTGTCTATGTGGCTTCCTTCACACCGTAATCAACAAGGTATGCTTTGGGATTTCATGTACTTAATTTCCTATAGTCCTTTTGTTCTAAAATTTTAATTTCTATTATACCTTAAATTCTGTTGAGTCTATTAACTCCTATGAAGATTTAATTGGAAAATAATCATAGTTGTCTCAGTATGAACAATATTGAACCAGAGAAGTATGAAATACTTTCCCCTCAAAAGCCTGATGATGTTTAGTTTTTTCATATTTAACTTTCCTGAACAGAAAGAGCCTCAATAGGATTTTCTGGGTTTCACAAACTAAATGATTTAAGCTTCTGAATATCAAGAACACCTTCTGTACTCTGTCCGAGTCCTATTAAGTTTGTTAACATTTTTACAAAATGTAGTAGTAGCTAGTTGCTTCATTAATATTAGAAAATTTCAACTGTTTTTTAAAGTGTATTTTTTCTTAATAATATGAAGCGATCCTTCTACCTGCAGTATAAATCATTATACAGCAATAACCAAATCAGGAACCTTCCACTAAGTGATGAGCGGCCAGTCTCATTGACTTCTATTGTGCCATCTGACATTCCACAGTCTCAAGCTACAACATCTGTTCCGAGAACTTTGTCATTTAATGTCAATTCCAGCCATTCCAATTTACAGCAGGACAGTCTTGTTACAATAAATGAGCGCGGCGCAGCTCCGTTGCACTTGAACAGACAGTCAAATTCACAACAACTTAGAAATAGTGATCAAAGTACCCAGAAACTTGTAAATTCCTCATTGAAGTTATCATTCAATAAAACGAAACCTGGTTATGTCCATGAATCATTCGAAGATGAGGATGCCTGTCCAACGTGTCTGGAAGGTAAAACTTCTTGAATCTGTCGTTTTGATAATAGTCAACAGACATTATAGCAAAACTTCCAAAGTAGTTTCTTGAAATTTGAAAAATGATAATTTGCTGCATGATTGGATTCATGGTAATTAATCTTCGAATTAAATTTGTGTTGACAGAGTATACCCCTGAAAATCCAAGGATAGTTACAAAATGTTTTCACCATTACCATCTTAGCTGTATATACGAGTGGATGGAGAGAAGTCCAACCTGTCCTGTTTGCAGCAAGGTATAGATTTCTGTTTGTGTTGACTACTTAATCTTCATTGGAGAAAAATTAAACTCTTAATTGTTAAAACTGACATATTACTGCTTGTTTACATAATTAATTTTTGGTGCATTAAATTGAACTCTATTGGGAGTGTGACATTGCAGGTGATGGTATTTGATGAAATAGTCTAATCGAAGGGAAATGGTAGCTGGGGTTATGCAAAAACTAGAGACGAACAGATTACTGGTGAGGGATATAAAATTATAGCATAGAGAAGGCCAAGTTTTCTTTATTGGTACTCATATTACAAGTATAACGGTGCAACTTCATGTTTCTTACATGGAATTATAATAGAATTTTTATCCCATGGAAGATGTTTCAATTCAAGATTTTTTACTTCAACTTTAATTTATTTAGTTCAGTTTAATCTAAAACATACTTAATAATAATAATCATATCAACAATATATGAGAATTGTTTTATCATGGTAATGATCCTACAAAATCAAGTTTTAACAAAAAATTTGGGAAAACGAATAGGAGGCGATTTTCATAACTGGGATGAGACTTTTAGGTTAAAATTTGACTTAAATGCTTAAATTTTCATATGTTCATACATCATAGACCAATCATTAAAACATAAAATTAGTAAAAAAAAAAAAAAAAAAAAAAAGATGAAAAGAATCAAAAGATCCCAACCACCCTAATTTACTTTCTTCATAAATTAAAGTATTCATAAACATGCAAGCGTTGATCTAATTACAGGCTAATCCACCCCTCAACAAGTTTACAACAACAAAATATTTTTTTCTTTTCCAATTTTTATTTAAAAAACCTGAAAACTAGGCACAACGTTTCTAAAACGTTTTTGACAAACAGGCTACCAAACAAGTTCTCATTGTACACTTCCCCAAAAAATACCGAAAACCGTCTTGTTCATCTCGATGAATATTCTAAATCAGCCATCACTGGATGCAGACTAACTCATAGCAAACCATGAGATAATAAATAGAAATATCAAAGTGATAATTAAGTTTTAGAATAACATTCATCATCATCAAGTAGCATATTTATGATGAGTTTAATTCATACGAAATAGATAAAAGCAGGACTGAGAAGAGTGTTCTGGTCACTTAATCTCATGCCTCTTAAGTTGTACCTTCAAGCCAATACTTACAAACAAGTTTAGGTAGCTAGAAATCAAGTGTCTTAATTTCTTATTTAGATTCATGCAGCAAAGCATCCAAGATGGCATGAATACAGTGGTTCAAGAGTGAGGTCAAGCCCGTTACGCCTCATCTCATCTGCTGCTGCTGCTTCTTCCTGCTGATAAGCAGTTGCACCACTGCCTCACACAACCACCACCCAAATCAAGTTAAGTGAAGCATTCTTAATTAAAAGGGTTGATATTCAGAATATATATAGGTATATTTATAAACATATGCTAAATTACTAATACATTATGACAAATTCCTAGGGACAACATAGTAACCAGAGAAATCTAGAAGATCTCTTCCTGTATGGTTATAGGATGGGTACATATGCAAAGCAACATGATGTTTATTATATAAAGCATATAGAATTGGGCAACCCAAAAGGCGGTGCCAAACCAATACAGCAAATCCTCTAAGGAAAAGGGACAAATACATACATATATAATGCACAACAATTTTCAAATTGTTTCACCATTGATTTGTTACCTGCGGTTACATATCCAAAGAACAATATTATTTTTACTAAGTTTATATTCTAGGTTTTATATCTCAAAACGCAACATTAATATTAATTTAAAAGTATCATATGATGGATATCTTAAATTAGCATGGAATCCCTATTGATATACAAGTCCTAAATTCGTAACATAGGTTTTTTCTAATCTAAGTAGTGTAATGTTATTCTAACATTGTTGTATGGATATGATATCCTGTAATGTGACAAATGATATTACCATCATCTAAGAGAGTCACATCACATATCCACAAATTCAGAGTTTCTACATATCAGTTTGTAAATGGTTAGTATATATTGTCATTCAGTACAAATATGGCTACCTTGTAGTCATAGTCACCAAGCTACTCAGTGATAAACATAAACTATTGCATAGTATGCGAGAAATCAATAATTACCTAATTTTCATGCAAGGAGGTCCCTGTGGCAGCAGGAAGGATAATGTATTGGGGCCATGGTTTTGCTGCCCCCACTGTGCTTGTTGTGCCATAGTCTTCTCCTTCTCCTTGATCTATTTTATATTACCATAAATAAAATAAAAGAGAAATACAACAGACCATCAGTATATCAACTAGCTCCAAAAAGGAAGCTACATTGAGTAGAACCAATTCTGACAGTGGGTTACTGGAAAAGAAATACATAAAAGTTGCATGATAAAATATGGTAAATCCAACCTTCTTAGCAAGCATGTTGTTTTGCTCCTGTATTGCCTTTTCCTGTAATAGAACATAAAGCGAGGTGGCATATGAACAAAAATTAGGAGCTCTTCATAATTAAGTTATTGTCATTGAGAAGTAAGGGAATTCAGAAAGAGTTAATTTCATACTTGAGAGGCTGTGTTTGTTGAAAATTAAACATCACTTTATTGCATAATGGTAAATTTCGACAAGAGTTGAAGAGGCTACAGTTATGCAACTTTAGCTATTATGTAGATCAAATTAAAGCTCGTCTAGTTTTGAAAGCTTCAAATTGCTCAAATTGGATTTTATTAAGTAAATTATGGTCAATTTACTACTAACTGTTTAGTGGTAACCGAGAAACATGTAAAATGTAAAGTGTGTATCTTTTGGTGTGTATAACTTTTGGTGGATGTAATAGTATTAGATGTCCTTAAATTTAGACTCTTGAGTTTTCTTTTGAGTAGTAGATATAGCCATGTACTCAAGTTATGTTTGAACAATGAAATAAGAGATTTAGTTTGGAATTCCTCTTCTATTTCCTCTTCTTTGTGAGCTTTCTGCCATCTTGATTCCAGCAAAGTGGTATCAGAGTCGTGACTCAAGAGCATGTATTTTAAATCAGTCACTCTTTTTTCCAATACCCACAACTCATTAAGCACAATTATGTAATGGGCAATTGGAGTCAAGGCTATCCTTGGTTCCCAAGGAGTATGAGAGGTTGTTGAGAAAGGTTATGTAGAACCTCAAAATGAGGAGGAGTTGAATCAAGCTCAAAAGGATGCTGTGGAGAAAGAAAGGAAGAAGGATCAATGTGCGCTTACCATTATTCATCAAGGCCTAGATGATGATATGTTCGAGAAGGTTGCCAGCGAAACCAATTCCAAGCAAGCATGGGATACTCTTCGAAACTCCATCATGGGAGTTGAAAAGTCAAGAAAGTACGCCTACAAACTTTAAGGGCCGAGTTTGAATCTCTTTTGATGAAAGGAGTGAGTCATTTTGAATTACTTCATAAGAGTCTTGATGATGGTGAATCAAATGAAGAGGCTTGGAGAAAGATCAGAAGATTCTCATGTTATTGAGAAGATTCTTCACTCTCTCAATTCAAATTAACCATGTAGTGGTAGCCATTGAAGAGTCTAAGGGTTTGGAGGTCATGTCCAACTACAAATTAAATAGACCCTTACTGGCCCACGAAGAAAGAAAAACCAAGGCAAGCAAGAGCAAGTGGAGCATGTGTTGTAAGCAAAGCTTTCATTAAAGCAAAGGAGAAGCTTATGAAACAGAAAAGAGGCCAAGGACATGGAAGAGGTCGAGGCCGTGGTCGGGAAGACGAAGAGATGAGCAAAATCTTCTAAAGAGGGAAGAAATCAAATTATTCAAGAGGATGTGGAGAGGAAGAGGAAGAGGCAACCATAAAAGATGCAATGAGATAAAAAATACAAAAGTCAAATTGAATGTTATTAGAAAATACGGGCATTATTCTTGGGAGCAAGAAAGTACAAGAGGAGACAAAACTTATTATGCATAAGGAAGATGCGGAGGAGTCTACATATTCCTTATGCTCAAGGAGTTCCCAATGATGAGAAGATTTTGTGGTACCTAGACAATTGCTGTAGCTGTTGGAGTTGTCGATTACTTCAATATTATTGGGTTACACAGACATTCGGGAGTCTCGTTGCTGTGAGGGGGCGAGGTCATTGGGGTAGCGCCCCGGACCGTTGGCGGTTTGGGCCATGTTAATGCCAATAGGTCCCGCTATAGGATTTTTTTAAGTTATTATTCCTTATTGGGTTGGCTTAGGAATAAGATCTTGTAAACTAGTTTTGTCACTTAAACCTAGTAATAAACCTATTTTCTCTTTGTTATGAGTGATAGCAAAATAAGACAATTCATTCATTGTAAACAAGAGAGAGGTGAGGAAATATTGCAATAATATTGACTCGTTGGACGTAGCTCATATTGGGTGAACCAGGGTAAATTGCGCGTGTTATTTTCTCTGTGTTTATTATCTGTGATTTGCTTTATCATTGTTTTATTCTCGCTGCTATCTCTATTTTGTTCACTAGCAACCACATGCAGGCGATAGAAGCAAATTCGTGGAACTTGACACCAAAGTGACAGGGTGATGAATCGAGGTGGAGATTAAAGGTAAGGGCACAATTTTGTTTGAGGCAAAGAACAAGAGTCATAAGATTTCCTAATGTTTATTACATTCCAAAAATGAAAAATATATTTTGAGTATTGGCAACTTATGGAGAATGGTTGCAAAATAAACATGGAAGATCGTTTTCTTTGGCTTAGAGAAAAGAAGGGAATCTTATTGCTAAGGTTTCTATGACAAGAAATGTGTTCCTGTTGGATTTGAAGATTGGAGCCATTTGTTTGAAGATTTGTGTGAAAGGTTCATCATGGATTTGACACAGAGGTATTGGCATCGAAATTTTGGAAGGCTTAGAGACTTAGGAGCAAAGAAGATGGTGAAAGGTATTCCAACAATTGATCACCCTCAATCAATCATGTGAAGCTTGTATACTTGGCAAGCATTCAAGAAAGATTTTTCCCAAGTAGACCAATTCAAGAGCCACTGAGCCACTTCAACTATTAACTTATTCATGCGGATGTTTGTGGTCAATCAAGCCTTCATCTCTTGGTAAAATCTCTTAATTTTTGCTTTTTATTAATGACTATTCACGAAAAACATGAGTTTTTTCTTGAAGCAAAAGAGTGAGACTTTTGAGGTATTCAAAAAGTTCAAAGCTCTATTGAAAAAGAAAGTGGCTACGAAATCAAATCTTTAAGAACCGATAGAGGTGGCAAATTCACTTTCAACGAATTCAAGGTTTTTTATGAGACACGTGAAATTCTTTGTCCCTTGACTGACCCTAGATTTCCACAACAAAATGGAGTCGTCGAAAGGAAGAACCGAACAATCCTTAATATGGCAAGAACCATGTTGAAAACAAGTCGATGCCGAAAGAGTTTTGGGCTGAAGCTGTTGCATGTGCATTTATCTCTCCAACTTCACCTACCAAAAGTTTGAAAGGGCGTGACACCCTAAGAAGAATGAAGTGGAGCGAAGCAAAATGTGTCACACTTGCAAGTCTTTGGGTCTATTGCCTATTTTCAAGTTCCAGAGCAAAAGATAAGAGAGATCAAATCTTGATGATAGGAGCAAGAAGGTTGTGTTTATTGGCTACGATGATAACTCGAAAGGCTGCAAGGTTTTCAATCCAAGCAACAACAAAATCATGATTAGCATAGATGTTGAATTTGAAGAAGATGCAACGTGATTTTGGGGTATAGAAGATGAAGTTGCTTATGATTTTCTCCCTTACTTTGATGAAGAAGAAACTCCAATACAAGAACCATAAGGCGAAATTGTACCTCCAACAACACCAACATCGTCTTTTATAGCACCATCATCACCCTCTCTTTCATCTAGCTCAAATGAAGGCCTTCATAGATATCGAAGCCTCGTGGATCTCTATGAAGAAACTGAAAGGTTAAAAGATGAAAATTTATTTTGCTTATTCTCTAATGATAAGCCTTTGAGTTTTGAAGAAGCTGTGAAAGATAAGAAATGGATACAAGCCATGAAGGAGGAAATTCAAGCCATTGCAAATAACAACACTTGGGAGCTTGCATCACTTTCGAGTGGGCATAAAGCGATTGGAGTCAAATGGGTGTATAAAATCAAGAAGAACTCCAAGGGAGAAGTAGAAATATACAAGGCCAGACTCATTGCAAGGGCTACAAGCAAAAACAGGGCATTGACTATGAAGAGGTTTTTGCTCCAATTGCACGTTTGGAGACAATCCGACTACTAATATCGTTTGCCACACAAAACCAATGAAAGATCCATCAAATGAATGTCAAGTCCGCCTTCTCGAATGGTCATCTTGAAGAAGAGGTTTATGTGAACCTTCAGGTTTTATTATTAAAGGTTATGAGGACAAGGGGCTGAGGTTAAAGAAGATATTATATGGATTAAAGCAAGATGCAAGAGCTTGGAATAGCCATCTTGATAAGTATCTTCAAGAGAATGGTTTCACTAGATGTGCTCATGAATATGCACTCTGTGTGAAGAGGGAAAATGAAGATTTTTTATTTGTTTGTGTCTATGTGGATGATTTTATTTTCACAAGGAACAATCAAATGATGATCGAAGATTTTAAGAAGGTTATGACTCAAGAGTTTGAAATGAGTGATACGAGACTCATGTCCTATTATTTGGTAATTGAAGTTAAGCAAATGGAGGATGAGATTTTCATCTCACAAGAAAATTATGCAAATGAAGTGCTAAAGAAACTCAACATGTTGGATGGCAAACCAGTCAGCACGCCCATGGAAAATCCATCTGAGACACACATGAAGGCAGCCAAGAGAATTCTTTGTTATCTTAAAGGTACTCTTGATTATGATTTTTTTTTTTTTATTCGGCTTCAATGAGTTCAAATTGATGGGTTTTCCAATAAAGTCAAGTTTAATTTTCAACAAATTAAACTTGACTTTATTGCAAAACGGTAACTTTCAAGAAGAATTTGAAGGGGTTACAGTTATCCAAATTCAGGTTATAATATATCAAATATTAAAGTCCCCTCTGCCTAGTTTCTAAAGCTTCAAACTATTTATTAATTAGATTTTTATTAAATAAGTTATGACTAATTTGCAGTTGACTGTTCAGTGGTAACCAAGAAACAAGTAAATCGTAAAGTGTATCTTTTGGTGTGTAAAATATCCGCTGAACATGAATAGCATTAGATGTCCTTAAATTTGAGTTTTGTCCTTAAATATATATGAATCATGTACTCAAGCTATGTTTGACCAATGAAATAAGAGATTTAATTTGTGAATTCCTTTTCTATTTTCTCTTTCCTTGTGAGCTTTGTGTCTATCTTGATTCCAACAGTGTTAATAAAATAAGAATTCGGTAGAACATTACTTGGCAAGACTTATTTTCTGTGGCCATGCTTGAAATAAACCATTGTAATGGCAATCAAAAAAGCATGAGAAAGTTAAGAAGATTACTTCTCAAATAACTTCTAAATGTGAAAAATAAAAATAACTTCTCACACAATTGCTTGACAAAATTACCATACGCTAAAATATTTGGCTGTCCATTCAGTTTCTTCAGTGTACCTCTCAAAGAACATTATTTCCTCGTTTTTTTTTTTTTTTTTTTCCTTCCTTTGAAAAATAAATAACATTACTAATAGCATGACAAACAATCCTCTGCAAGATATATGCTTCGTAGTTGCGTAACTCATATATATATTTCACCAACTTAAATATTCATGATCAAGATCACTCAAATTTTTAGTCCATGTTTAGTCAAATGGATCATTCAAGTTTTACAATAATAGAGACTTATGCTAAAAGTTCTTACCTTTCTCTGGAGCTCAGAGATGGACTCACACATGAGCTGATTCTGCAAAATAGAGAATTTTGATATCAACAAAGAACAAAAATTTTAACCATATAAGGCTAAACTATAAAAGTACATACTTTTCTTGATCTGATGTGTTTGAGAGCAGATTCATGCTGCTGCTCCAAATTTTGGATATCTCTCACACTCAGTGAGTCCAAATCTTCTCCCAAATAGTGCCTGAGAGGTTTTAAATTAATTAAAACAGTTGGTTATTTCAAAAACTACATGAGTGATAACATAAGAAGAGGAGAGAAAGATAAGATTGTCCCTTTACTATTTGTGTTCATGCATGCGACCAGCTTTAAATACCTTTGGTTCCTTTGCAAAAGTTCAATTTTGGACTTAAGCCTGTGATACTCCAGAGACCAGTCACCCTGAACAATCAAACAGTTCCACAAATGCCAGAATGACTTTAACTAACATGGCAAAAGATCAATAGCCATTCATAAAATACATAATATAAGAAACAATAGCTAAGCAGATAGCGCAAATTTTACATACCGGTGATTCAGGTGCAGGATCAACGAGCTGTCTCTCTGCATAGGAGTACCTCTCATAGCGTTCAAGTATCTTTTGCATGCTGTTTCACAACATAAAGTTAATCTCTAAAGTCTAAGCAAAGATCTTCTGTTCTCACAAAATATTTTATTGTGTTTGTGAGAGCAACTTCATACTAGTTTTAAAAGTTCTTTAATATATGCACACAAAACATTATTGTTTTCAACAATTTCATATATACTATCCTTGGAAGAAGATGATTAGGCAGTAAAATGCTATAATTTTTTATGCTGAAGCTGGGAGAGTAAGAGTGGCCTCAGCATCTCCTAACAGTGGAAATTTAATTTTAATAAAATTAAAATAACAGGACAGCTTCTAAATGCTACAAATAGTAATTAAAAAAACACTTGTTTTGCAAACAGTTTTCCACATAATTTGTGCAGTATCAACTATCAAGATAGTTATATGTTTCTAATTACTAAAGAGATTTAGGTAACCCATATTGGGTGAACCAGGATAATCACGCGTTGTATTTTCTTTGTATTATTATCTGTGATTTGCTTTATTATTGTTTTCTCGCTGCTTCTCTATTTTGTTCATAGCAAACACATGCAGGCGATAGAAGCAAATTCGTGGAACTTGACACCAAGTGAGCAGGGGTGATGAATCAAAGGTGGAGATTAAAGGTAAGGGCACAATTTTGTTTGAGGCAAAGAACAAGAGTCATAAGATTCTTCTAAGTTTATACATTCCAAAAATGAAAATAATATTTTGGAGATTGGGCAACTTATGGAGGATGGTTGCAAAATAAACATGGAAGATCGTTTTCTTGGCTTAGAGACAAGAAGGGAATCTTATTGCTAAGGTTTCTATGACAAGAAATGTGTGTTCTGTTGGATTTGAAGATTGGAGCCATTTGTTTGAAGATTGTTGAAAGGTTCACATGGATTTGACACATGAGGTTTTGGCATCGAAATTTGGAAGGCTTAGAGACTTGGAGCAAAGAAGATGGTGAAAGGTATTCCAAAATTGGTCACTCATCAATCATGTGAAGCTTGATCTGGCAAGCATTCAAGAAAGAGTTTTCCAAGCAATTCAATTCAAAGCCACCGAGCCACTTCAACTTATAACTTATTCATGCAGATGTTGTGGAATCAAGCCTTCACTCCTGGTAAACTCTTATTTTTGCTTTTATTATGACTATTCACGAAAAACATGAGTATTTCTTGAAGCAAAAGAGTGAGACTTTTGAGGATTCAAAAAGTTCAAAGCTCTTGTTGAAAAGAAGTGGCACGAAATCAAATCTTAAGAGCCATAGAGGTGGCATATTCACTTTCAACGAATTCAAGGTTTTTATGAGACAGTGAAATTCTGTCCCTTGACTGACCCTAGATTGCACAACAAAATAGAGTCTCGAAAGGAAGAACCAACAATCTTAATATGGCAAGAACCATGTTGAAAAGTAAGTCAATGCCGAAAGAGTTTTGGGCTGAAGCTGTTGCATGTGCAATTTAATCTCCAAGTTCACTACCAAAAGTTTGAAGGGCGTGCACATAGAAGATGGAGTGAGCGAAGCCAAATGTGCACACTTGCAAGTCTTTGGGTCTATTGCTATTTTCAAGTTCCAGAGCAAAAGATAAGAGAGATCAACTTGATGATAGGAGCAAGAAGGTTGTGTTTATTGGCTATGATGAAACTCAAAGGTGAAGGTTTTCAATCCAAGCAACAACAAAAATCATGTTAGTATAGAAGATGAAGTTGCTTATGATTTTCTCCCTCACTCTGATGAAGAAGAAGAAACCAACAGAACCTAAGGCGAAATTGTACCTCCAAACCACCAACATCGTCTTTTATAGCACCATCATCACCCTCTCTTCATCTAGCTCAAATGAAGGCCTTCATAGATATCGAAGCCTCGTGGATCTCTATGAAGAAACTGAAAGGTTAAAGAGAAAATTATTTTGTCTATTCTCTAATGATAAGCCTTGAGTTTTGAAGAAGCTGTGAAAGATAAGAAATGGATACAAGCCATGAAGGAGGAAATTAAGCCATTGCAAATAACAACACTTGGAGCTTGCATCACTTCGAGTGGGCATAAGCGATTGGAGTCAAAAGGGTGTATAAATCAAGAAGAACTCCAAGGGAGAAGTAGAAATATACAAGGCAGACTCATTGCAAGGGCTACAAGCAAAAACGGGCATTGACTATGAAGAGGTTTTTGCTCCGACGTGCCAAAACAAAACCAATGGAAGATCCATCAAATGGATGTCAAGTCCGCCTTCTCGAATGGTCATCTTGAAGAAGAGGTTTATGTGAACCTTTAGGTTCATTATAAGGTTATTGTTGTATGGATATGATATCCTGTAATGTGACAAATGATATTACCATCATCTAAGAGAGTCACATCACATATCCACAAATTCAGAGTTTCTACATATTCAGTTTGTAAATGGTTAGTATATATTGTCATTCAGTACAAATATGGCTACCTTGTAGTCATAGTCACCAAGCTACTCAGTGATAAACATAAACTATTGCATAGTGTGCGAGAAATCTATAATTACCTAATTTTCATGCAAGGAGGTCCCTGTGGCAGCAGGAAGGATAATGTATTGGGGCCATGGTTTTGCTGCCCCCACTGTGCTTGTTGTGCCATAGTCTTCTCCTTCTCCTTGATCTATTTTATATTACCATAAATAAAATAAAAGAGAAATACAACAGACCATCAGTATATCAACTAGCTCCAAAAAGGAAGCTACATTGAGTAGAACCAATTCTGACAGTGGGTTACTGGAAAAGAAATACATAAAAGTTGCATGATAAAATATGGTAAATCCAACCTTCTTAGCGAGCATGTTGTTTTGCTCCTGTATTGCCTTTTCCTGTCATAGAACATAAAGAGAGGTAGCATATGAACAAAAATTAGGAGCTCTTCATAATTAAGTTATTGTCATTGAGAAGTAAGGGAATTCAGAAAGAGTTAATTTCGTGCTTGAGAGGCTGTGTTTGTTGAAAATTAAACTTGACTTTATTGCAGAACTGTAAATTTCGACAAGAATTTGAAGAAGCTATAGTTATTCAACTTTAGCTTATGATAGATCAAATTAAAGCTCGTCTAGTTTTCAAAGCTTCAAACTGCTCATCAATTGAATTTTTATTAAGTAAGTTATGACCAATTTACTACTAACTATTTAGTAGTAACCGAGAAACATGTAAAATGTAAAGTGTGTATCTTTTGGTGTGTATAACTTTTGGTGGATGTAAATAGTATTAGATGTCCTTAAATTTAGACTCTTGAGTTTTCTTTTGAGTAGTAGATATAGCCATGTACTCAAGTTATGTTTGAACAATGAAATAAGAGATTTAATTTGTGAATTCCTCTTCTATTTCCTCTTGCCTTGTGAGCTTTCTGCCTATCTTGATTCCAACAAAGTGGTATCAGAGTCGTGACTCAAGAGCATGTATTTTAAATCAGTCACTCTTTCTTTCCAATACCCACAACTCATTAAGCACAATTATGATAATTGGGCAATTGAAGTGAAGGCTATCCTTGGTTCCCAAGGAGTATGAGAGGTTGTTGAGAAAGGTTATGTAGAACCTCAAAATGAGAAGGAGTTGAATCAAGCTCAAAAGGATGCCTTGGAGAAAGAAAGGAAGAAGGATCAATGTGCGCTTACCATTATTCATCAAGGCCTAGATGATGATATGTTCGAGAAGGTTGCCAGCGAAACCAATTCCAAGCAAGCATGGGATACTCTTCGAAACTCCATCATGGGAGTTGAAAAAGTCAAGAAAGTACGCCTACAAACTATAAGGGCCGAGTTTGAATCTCTTTTGATGAAAGAGAGTGAAGTCATTTTGAATTACTTCATAAGAGTCTTGATGATGGTGAATCAAATGAAGAGGCTTGGAGAAAGATCAGAAGATTCTCATGTTATTGAGAAGATTCTTCACTCTCTCAATTCCAAATTCAACCATGTAGTGGTAGCCATTGAAGAGTCTAAGGGTTTGGAGGTCATGTCCAACTACAAATTAAATAGACCCTTACTGGCCCACGAAGAAAGAATAAACCAAGGCAAGCAAGAGCAAGTGGAGCATGTGTTGTAAGCAAAGCTTTCATTAAAGCCAAAGGAGAAGCTTATGAAAACAGTAAAAGAGGCCAAAGACATGGAAGAGGTCGAGGCCGTGGTCGTGGAAGACGAAGAGATGAGCAAAATCTTCTAAAGAGGGAAGAAATCAAAATTATTCAAGAGGATGTGGAAGAGGAAGAGGAAGAGGCAACTATAAAAGATGCAATGAGATAAAAAATGATAAAAGTCAAATTGAATGTTATTGGAAAATACAGGCATTATTCTTGGGAGCGTCCAACCAAGAAAGTACAGGAGGAGACAAAACTTATTATGCACAAGCTGCATTATTCTTTATGCTCAAGGAAGTATCCGGTGATGAGAAGATTTTGTGGTACCTAGACAATTGCTGTAGCTGTTGGAGTTGTCGATTACTTCAGCATTATTGGGTTATGCAGATGCATTCAGGAGTTCCCCTGCATAGTGAGCGAGCATGGTCATGGGGGCAGCGCCCCCGGGCCCGTCAATGGTTTGGGCCATGTTAATGCCAATAGGTCCCGCTATAGGATTTCTTTAAGTTATTAATTCCTTATTGGGTTGAGCTTAGGAATAGGAATCCTTGTAAACTAGGTTTTGTCACTTAAACCTAGTATATAAACATACTTTTCTATTTTTATGAGTGATAGCAAATCCTATGACAATTCCTTCATTGTAAATGAGAGAGAGGTGAGGAAATATTGCAATAATATTGACTTGACTGGAGGTAACCCATATTGGGTGAACCAGGATAAATCACGCGTGTTATTTTCTTTGTATTTATTATCTGTGATTTGCTTTATTATTGTTTTGTTCTCGCTACTGTCTCTATTTTGTTCACTAGCAACCACATGCAGGCGATAGAAGCAAATTCGTGGAACTTGACACCAAAGTGACAGGGGTGATGAATCAAAGGTGGAGATTAAAGGTAAGGGCACAATTTTGTTTGAGGCAAAGAACAAGAGTCATAAGATTCTTC